TCATTTCAAATTGATTTACTGGATTTTACATTGCATCTTCATTTTCACTTTGGTTTTCTTTAATATTTCTACCTCTTTAGTAAATTCACTTTTCAAGGCATGGATTTTTTCTGTTATTTCACTGAGCCACATGTTTTCTTGATGTTCTTTCACAAGTTTGCATATATCTTCCTTGAGTTGTTTTTCTGTATGTTCTTTAAGTTCCTTGATTGTGTTCATTATTTTTCTTTTAAATTTTGTGTCATTGGCTTTCTCAGGGTGATTCTCGTTGTATTACACATCCATAGACTGGTTTCTTTGCGGGGGGTCATAGTTTCATTTCTTTCTGATTATTTTTGTTTGTTCAGTGCCATTTTTGTCACGGATGTCTTCTGTTGGTTGTGTTTTCAACAGGATATTCTATTCTGCTTTTATTTTTGGTGTTTTTTTTTCTGTTTACATAGTTTTTATAGTCTGTTTGCTTTTTGCTCACATACGAAAAGAAATGCTGTGTGCTTCAGGTTCTTGCATTGTAGTAGATTGGTCTGAGTAGCAAGCATGTCCGTGGTAGGCAGATCAGAAAGGAGACAAGGGAATAAAGATGGTGGAGACAGTTTGTGGAGGGTGTAATGAATATGGAGTATTGAATTGGTCTGAGTGAAGGGTATCAGGATGCAATATGCAGGTCTGAAATAAGAGGGTCCAGAGATCAGGGGTGGAAAGAGCAAGAACAGGTCTGAACCAATGGTTGGAATGGTGACTGGGAACAAGGAGAGAGTAGAACTATTCAGTCTGCAAGGGAATCAAGATGAGTGGGTGGCATCTGATTTATCAGGGGTATAACCAGGTCTGAGGCAGATCAGGAGGCCAGGGCCAAGGTGGGAGTGTGGGCAGCCTTTGGATGGTCTACAAATTACACTAGAGGATTAAGCCAGTCATTTTAGGAATCTAGTCCAGAGATTTAAGGTGGGATAGAATAAGCAGACAAAAGCCCAATGCTAGAAGCGGTCAGGGTGTGGGAAGAGTGATGTTGCTCAGGTATAGGTAAATCAAGGCACAGTGGGTAGAATATGATTTACCAGTTTGGTAGACATGTCTGTGGCAGGCAGATCAGGGGGACAGAGGCAAGTGGGGGGGTTTGGGGACCACCTGTGGAGGCTAAATGAAACTAAGTTTTGATTTGAGATGTTTTGTGTGCAAAGGATTAGGTTTCTGTATTTGGATCTGGCCTCAAAAGCTAGTCCAGAGATTTGGGACTGAAAGAGTAGGAGTGGACCTGGGCCCATGGCTAAAGGGAGACCTAGTGAGCAGATAGAGAATGGAGCTGCTTAGGCCACAATTAAGATGCAGTGGAATCAAGATGCCCTGGAATCAAGATGCAGTGGGAGAAATCTGACCTACCAGGTAATAGGTGTGCCTGGAACAGCCCTTTGAGGAGGCCAGGGGCTAGATGGAGTTGGGAAGAGTCAAACTATCCTAGAGGATTAAACTACTCTGGATTAGAAAGCTAGCCCAGATTTATGAGGTAGTATAGGAGGAACAGGCCTGGGGCCAAGTAGGAAAGAATGCAGGTAGAGAGAGGAGCTGCTTGGGCTACAGGGAATACAGTTTCTTCTGTTATTATGTTTGGAGAGTTTTTGGTTTTTACATGTTAGTTACATAATTTGCACCTGTTTCCTCAGTCTGAATTTTCATTCTTTTTACAATGCCATTATTAGAACCAACTATTTCACTTTCATCAAATGCAATTACATTATTTTTATGCATTTTAAAATGGATAATATAGTTTAGAACTTGTTTCTATTATTTTTAATGATTTTATATCTTAAGCTTGAACATTTTTGTTTCTTGTAAAGCAGACACTGTGATGGCAGTCAATTATTTCCTCAATGATAAAAAGAGTTTACAAAAGTGGTAATCCTTACTAAAAATCATTAGCACTGTGTCTGTAGAATATCAAAGTATTTTCTCCATATTTTGTGACTTGCACACACATAGACACACAGACACAGACACAGACACACACAAAGACACAGACACACACAAAGACACAGACACACACACAGACACACACACACACACACACACACACACACACACACACACACACACACACACACACACACACACACAAATAAATTCCTGTAAAATAACCAAAGACATAAAGCAAATTTGGAAGTGTGTGAGAAAATGAAATAGGTCTCATAAGAACATTCAAAAAATCTCAAGCAAAAGAAGGTTAAAGTTCACATATATGAACTTTCATACAGCACCATACTCATGAAATTGTTACTCATGTTTTACCGACTTCATAAACTGTGGCATCAAAACAAACATTTCCTACAGTCCACAAGTTATCACTGTTGTCACTAGCTCATTCTTTGCACTATGTGTCCAATTACAGTAACACATAAAACACTAAATAACCAGTGATATGGACACATTTTCATGCATAAAATACATATGTAAATGCAAAATGGAAGGGACAGAGGGAGTCAGTCATGCCTCCCACCCATTCAATCAGCCTTAGCTGCATGAGGGGGAGTGACTATGGATAGGGACAGGGGAAGACAGAGACAGAGACCCTGGTCCTTGCCATATTGGACTGCTGGAAGCAGGTGAAGGAGCTTTGGACAGAATTTAGGGAGAAAGTTGACAAGGGTGCCCATGCATTTGTAAGTACCCCTCCCCCATCACCACCCTATACTTTGTTAGCAAGCACAATATATCCTATGGCTCTCTAAACTGTAATTTGGAGGAATATTATCTTGGTGTGTTGTGAGGATGGTGGGAAGAGGGCACTGGGAACCTGGAAGCCACCCAAACCAACCAGCAGTAAATTTAAATACAGATACCTACTAGTGAATTGTAACCCTATGAACAATCATACCTAAAGTGACAAAAAGGGAATAACTGTTAAATATACTAAAAATATCTCATGAAATGAATGCATTTTCCTTATATTTTGAATATCATGTCCTTTTTATTTTCCTCATTGGAAAATGAATGTGAGGCTAGAGAGATAGTGCTGCAGTTAAGAGCATTGGTTGCTCTTGCAGAAGACCCACTTGGGGGATAAGACCTTTACTACCTCGAGTTCCAAGAAATCTGTCACCCTTTTCTGACCTCTGTGGTCATTGCATTTATGGGCACACTTGCATTTACATGGTAATCCTTACTAATCTGCATAATAGGCTCATACACATAAAATAGAAATTACAAAATTAAATATTTTTAATGAATGTATTGATGAGCTCTCAGGGAAAAATATCTTTATCCCTTGTACTTAGACAACTATTTGCATCACTTCTTGGCCTATTTTGAATCTTTCCATATATATCTATTATAATTATACAGTGTAAATAATACTTCTTATTTGACATTCTCATTTAGTGTTGTTTAATTGGCAGTTTCCTGAGGCTGTAATCATTTTGGTTTTATTAGTGAATGATCAACTGGCAATTGGTTCAATATCTATTGCAATGATTTAGCTTCCTTTGAAAATTATATTAAATTTTTTGCCAATAAAAGGTATCAGGAATGTATTAGAAGGGGTCAACAATGAAGGGCAAGTCTGCTGAAGCTATACCATTAACAAAAATAGGCTTAGGTCATATTTCTGCATTTCATATAATACTTCTTAATCATACTTAGACCCCTCCTGTATCTTCACCTGCACCCCATAGCAGGACAACAACATTTTATGCATCCTGTAACATATGTTAAGCCCTATTGTGTCATGTTTGCATTCTTAGATGTCTCTCCATGTGAATTCATCCACTGAAGCCTGTTCAGCCTTTCTAATATTGTTCCCATAAAGATCACCTCTCCCTCACTCAGCAGCGATCAACCTTTTCAACAATTTTACACATATATGAGGTGTATTGTGATCATATTCACAATTTTGATTTATTCCCTACTACAACTGCTGATACTTCTTCATTATTAATTAGTGGTCCTCATGTTTTCATATCTTCTTTTTAAATCACATAATTTAATTATTATTGCTTGTAAAATCATGGATAGAATGTTGTTTATTGGAACCTATGCAACAAAGTTTTTTTGTAAGTGTGAGTAGGCATGCGGTCAGATATTTGGATTGCAGTTGAGAAAGAGGTTAAATAATTTACAGCAAATACATCTGTGGTTGCAATGACAAAAAGAAAGAAAAACGTTCTAAAAACTTGAGTATGGTTGGGGTGCAGTGTTAACCATAACATGATAACATAGGAAGATAGTAAGAAAAGCAAATGTATGGCTTGACTTCCCTTTTGTTATATCACTACAGAAGTCTTCAGATTGAAGCAAAGTCACTTAAAAATACTCACATACCTACTGATGGTATAATAGCTTTAGGTTGAACAGATTTCTTTATAAATTATTGAAAATTCACTCATTTATTGATTTACTCAGCAAGCTTTCGTTATCAACATCTACTGGTATTTAATGTCCTATATACTTCAGAATCATATAAGGTTATCAGAAACTACATGTATGGAGATTCAGCTAAATAATTATTAAGTTTAAGATATGCACAGAAAATTTTGAAGTCTGCTGATTCATTATAGTTTAACAGTAAAACTATTTTGTTTATTTACTTTTGCTTAAAAGGAATTTATTTTCTATCAGTTTTAGAGGTGGATTAGAATTGTCTTTTTCTGACAAACACTTAATGAAAACAGCAGTTACCTGAAGACCAGAGGACAAAATAGAAAGCAAATTGAAGATAACTGTGCTCACGAGGCTGCAGATGAGAACAAGGGCTCACTTGGATATTTAATACAAAGTCATTGATTCTTAAATTTTATTTCTTAAAAAAATTTGTCTCACTAGGTTCATTGAAGATGGAAAGAATATCTGTCTTTATATCTAATCAGAATAAATTTCAAGAGATTTAAGTTTAACATAATTTCACCATAAACTAGAAGTAATTACCTTGTAAGTGTGGGGATGTAGCCTTTTGAATATGGTTGCGGTATTAGCAATAAAAGATAATGAAACATCTGAGCTTTCCCATGGTACTAATGTTGAAGAATTAACCTTCTCAATGATGCAATAACTTCCTTGTTCCTAAGGCTGTATATCATGGGGTTGAACATGGGGGTCACAATGGTGTAGAACAGAGAGAGCAGTTTTTCAGTACCTGGAGAATGAGTGGATTTGGGTCTTAAGTAAGTAATGGCACCAGACCCATAAAACATAACCACCACCAGCAGGTGGGAAGAACATGTGGAGAAAGCTTTACCCTGTCCTTTGGCTGTTGGCAACCTCAGGATGGTGGCTATAATTCTGCCGTAAGAAGTAAGCACCAGGATGAAAGGGATGGCAGCCACCACCATAACAACTAGATAGACAGACAGCTCATGCACTGAAGTGTCCCCACAGCCCAGTTTGAGAATGGGGGGTATGTCACAGAAGAAGTGGTCTATTCTATTAGAATTGCAGAAGTGCAGAGAGAATATCTCACAGGTTTGCCCTATCTGGATTGGAATGCCACTGAGCCAGGAGCCTGCTGCCAGATGAATGCACCTTGTTGAGTTCATGACCAGAGGATAGTGCAGAGGCTTGCAGATGGCCACATAGCGGTCATAGGACATCACAGCCAGGAGGAAACTTTCATTAGTTCCCAATATGAAGAAAGAACACATTTGGGCTGCACAGGACATCATGGAAATGCTTCTATTCTGAGTCCAAATGTTGAACAGAATCCTTGGGACAGTAACTGATACATAACAGATTTCCAAAGAAGAAAAATGTGCTAGAAAAAAATACATGGGTTTCCTCAGTGCAGGGTCAAGCACAGTTACTATTATTATGAGACAATTTCCAATTACAATAATAATGTAAATGATGGTGAACAATGCAGACAGGAAGCCTTGGAGATCTGGAAGATCAGAGAATCCTAGCAGGATGAACTCTGTAACCGTGGAAATATTGTCTTCTGCCTTGCTCTCTTTATGTTTCAGATGGGGGAATGATTTGTCCAGAGTATGAGACATTTCTGGCTTCAACATGGTTTCTTTATGTATAGTCCAAGAGTGTCATGCATTCTTTGTTCCCAGATTTCCTGTAGGAATTTGTCACTGTTAATATGCATCTGTGTACATGCTTGTAGATTGTTCTAAAGGAATTATATTTTTAATATGATTGTTATTTCCAATTAGTTTAATCTCCTCATTTAAACTAGCTACATCTCAAAATATGAACTTATGTTTTATGTTAGTTTTCTTGATTTTTGTCCTTATATCTCAAATTTCTTTCTTGATAACAGTTCAAATTTATATCATATCAAATATATGATGAAGTAATTAAAATATGCCAGTGATTAGTATATTAATATTGTGTTGAGATTGTGCTCTGCTATTTTCTGGATCTTATTCAGTTTTGAGATTATGTATAATTAGGTTCTTTTACTGTTTAAAAGTAATAGCACACCATCAAATATTACAGAATAGTGTTTAACATTGTGCTTTCATTTCATTTTAAGTTCTACATCAGAACTCATATTATATTTGGATTTTACTATGACTAGTCAGAATCTGGGTTGTTTTATGTCTAAGGCTCAATTAGTAGTTTATGTAAGAAGGTACACTTTAGGGTTACACATATATTTTATGCAAGGATTATCTAGTACAAATTGCAATGTGCTTTTGAGCCACTCACCATCTCAATTCCTTCTTTCTGCTGATGTAATTTATTTCAGTATTTTGCACTGTGCATCTGTACTTTTGTATCTGAGTATATTTTAGTAGAATTATTTTTTCACTTTCTTAAATTGTGAGAGTTCTCAAAATAATTTCCATAGTTTTGTTTGGTGGATAACATATTGCTTCACTAAAGTGATTTGCTATCTTACTTTAAAATTACTAATATATTGAGTGCTGGAGATTATAAAAACTAGGTAGCATGATCTTATAGAATTAAGAATATATTGGAAATTACAGCACCATGAAGAGCCAAAGGCTGAGAAGGTAGGGTGGTGTTCATTAATGTGATCTAAGTTCCAATTCAAAGAATAAGTTCCTGTTCTGCCATTCCAAAGTAGTGACTATAATAAATTATATTCTACTTTTGGCTCAGAAGAAACAGTCTAACAATTATTTTGAGTATATTCAACATAAAAAGGATAAATGGTTGACAAGTGAATTTTATCACAATTTACTCTTAGGAAGTGGTAGAGACTTCAAACCACAGTATGGTATGCAAAATTATGTGCATTTTTGAGAATCAGGTAAATATAAAAAGAAAATATGAGAGTGAAAAAAATAGATGCTGCCACATGGGAAATGCTGCAAGTGAGCAAAATTGTCATTGGTTTGTAGGTAGTAACAAAACTATGATGTGATTTCAATAATAAATAACCTTAAGTGATCATTTTTACTACATTTTCCTATAATATTTCATTGAATTACATCCATGCAATCATTTCAGTTTAACTCAATCTAGGGATTGACTGTAGGGCAATGACTCAAACAAGAAATTACTTTGTTACTAGTAGCAAGATTACTATGTCTCTGCCTTTCTTATTAGTTATATGATTGTGATTTGTTCAGATCTGTCTTCAGATTAAACAAATGAAAGTATTTAAATATACTTAACACAATTTTTTAAGTATTAATATTTAAATGATCATGATGAAAATAAAAATGATGATGATAATGCTTAATACATATGCACACTATATAGTAAAAAATATTGTCTTTTGTTCACATGTCAACATGTAACAATTATATACATCAATTTTTGTGATCAATGTTCTATTATTTTAATCCATAAAATCATTTTTTAAAAATATTTTGGAATTTGATATCATTTTCTAATATAAATCATACAGATCCTTGTAAACATATATTGTATTTCACAAATGTAATTCATGTTCAATTATTTGGAACCAAGACATATCTTACCTTTGTTGATTTCTTTAAATTAGAGAAGGAGAAAATATGTTTTCAGTTTGATTACTCATTTTATTTGATACATGTTACATCTACCATCTAAAATGCATTCTGTTGTGAGTCATAATAATGTTCTTGAAGTATCAACTATTCTCTGCCCTGGGGATGATTGCTTTCCTACATAAACTTTTAATTGCTCTGAGATATTCCATCTGCCACTCAAGGACTTTGATACAAAGCACTGTCATTCTGTTATTTCTGTTGTTCTTCTGTATAAATTTTATCCTCTATTTTGTTGACTTATTATTATGAGCAATGATCCTTAACACATTGCAATATTTTGACAGCATATTAATTTACATAACCTAAATATTGTTTTTAGTAAAAAAATATGCAACGTTTTTAATATAGAAAGACAATTTATATTATAGAAAATTGAGATGACAGAGTTCTAAGGCTACTTGATGGTGAGACTGTAACATGAGTTTCAGCATGACACTTCCTCCTTGGTATCAACAACTTCCTGAAAGTTCTCCCCATAACTTAGTGTCCAAAGAAAAGATAAAGTAATGGACAGTGGTGAAAGTTACCGATGAGTTTTATCCGTGTTTAACTGGAAATGACATGCAGAGTTTCCATACACAATCCCTCATGCTGAATAGCTACAAGACCACAGCAAGATGGAAGACAACTAGGAAAAATAATTTCCAGCTGAATTCCATGTGATCAGGGACAACTATTCTGTGAAAGGCACCCCTCAGTTTGTCAAAACATAAGCATTGTATCCAGATGTCCATCAGTGCAAGTTCATCCACTGGAGTCTAGTCAGCCTATCTAGAGTCTTTCCCTTAAAGAGCATCAGCTCTCCCTCACCCCAAAGTAATCAGTTGCCAATAGGTCCTTTACTAAGGTTGGGTCTGTTGACCATTTCTCCAGTTCTATGCTGGGATTTTGTCTGAGTCAGCAGTATAGGGCTTGTGCATTCTGTCACCATGGATATAAGTTCATATGAGCAAAGATACACTAT